GGAAAACAGCCAAAGAACCAAATATAAAGCTCGCATCGAGGAAATGCACCATAAAGAGGGAAAGCACAACCTTGCAGATTCCAGTGCTGATCCCTCCTCGGGGAATACAATGTTGGGGTTCAGAGAAGCCATTAATCCCACAGACTTGAGTATAGAGTGTGTGGCAATTCATGGCCGAGAAAAGCTGCTTCCCAAGCTCTTTTTTTTTTTTTTTTTTTTTTAAGGAACAAACAAAGCACCTCACATATTTTTAACTGGCGTTCTGCCATGTCATGGAACATATCTTCCTTTCATTAACTACCTACCACTACTCCTAAGGGCATACTCGCTCTAGGCCCTCAAAATCGCAAAATAGCAAAATGAGTGGCCAGATTGAGTACTCTTAACCGAAGGACTCGATCCGGCCGCTCGTTTTGTTATCTTGTGAGTTTGAGGGCCTAGTGTGAGTATACTCTAAGGGTACACAGGGAACCAGTGTGTGGCAATTCATGGCCCAGAAAGGCTGCTTCCCAGGCTCTTTTTTTTTTTTTAAGAGGAACAAACAAAGCACCTCATATATTTTTAACTGGCGTTCTCCCATGTCATGGAACATATCTTTCTTTCATTCCCTACCTACCACTACTCTCAAGGGTACACTGGGGACCCCTGCAAACATAGCTTTCTACCTGTCTTCAGTGAAGGGAGGTTACCTCCCTCAGTGGGGAGAGCAGGTTAACCGAGCACCCATTTTTCAGGCCCATTTATAAGAAAACCAGACAGTCATTTTAACAACACTTCACACCAATCTATAGAGTGCACTTCTTACGACCCCATCACAGAAAAAAACCCTAAAAAAAGCAATTAAAAACATATAAAACAGCAAGCCAAAGGTGCATTTCCAATGAAATTTGGCCCAAAAAAAACTCGACCAATTTCAGAAATTTCAGAAATCTTAATAGCGCAAATTCTAAAACTCCAAATAACCCCAAATTTCATATACGGCAACCCTATCAAAATGCATATATGGCAAAAACTTGAAATTCCAAAAAAACATGAAATTTGAGCCCAAAACCCTAATTTCAGAAATTTCAGGCCTGAAAACCAGATGCCCCGTTAACCTCTTGTGTCAGTGGGGAGAGGTAAAAAGAGAGGTGGCGAAATGTTTGCCCCTTTGCCCTAGCATTTAGGGGGGCCCGGCTAACACAAGGCGTTCCCCCGGACGAGGAGACGGCAGCTTTATTATTAAAACAAATTAAAGATAAAATAAAACGTTTTTCCCTTTCTGCCCTTGGCTGGCTACCGACTGTAGGTCTTCATACTTCAGAAGTCAAACTTCGGGGTTAGTTCAAACTTCAAACAAACTATTTCCTTATGCTATGATACTCGTTGTGTAGAATATGTGCGCAGAGTTTTCCAACTTTGCCTGACGGACTTAAAAAATTGTGCTACTATTTAAATTAAAAAAAAAAAAAATTGTGCTACTATTGCGCATGAAATCCTGACCCAAGTTACCAAACAAATTACTGTCACAAATATTTGCAACTAATACTGCAAGCCGATAATAGACAGAAACGAAACCCATGCGCAACGGAATGGTCACACGTGAAAATAGGGTACTATCATACCGTGTTAAACACAACACTACCTCCGAGCCTCTTTTTGCCGCGAGGCAGGTTCTTCATGTGCGCCAACCTTCACCGAAGCCCCAGCGTGGTGCTTTCTGTTTTTCCCTTTTCTTTTGGCTGGCAGCCCGGCACCACCTGCCATTGGGGTCAGGATGGCCTGAGCCGCCATTGGAGTCCGGTTGCCCTGGGGAACGTTAGATTTTCGATCCTCAATGTTGCCTGGGAAAGGCAGACTTAGTTTAAGGCTGAAATGTATACAGACTACAAATTTTGCATGGACCTGAAAAGAACAGGCAACGTGGATCAAAAAAAAAAAAAAAAAAAAAAAAAAAAAGGCAAGGTGGATCACCCTCGTACAATAGGCTGTTGTGGTGGGGACCGGAAAGTATAAAGATCATACCAGTTTTCCATTGTCATCCACAACCGGAAGGCGCTTGAACTTGCTCTCCAGGAGTAGCCTGCACGGAACATGCCATACTCTGTGAGCACATCCGTTCCAAAGGCAAGATATACGTCGGACTAGTGAAGACAATTAGCAATTCATCAGATAACAACCAAACTGACTCGAGAATGAGAAGCAAGAGTCATCAACAAACCCGTCAACGATTGCTCAGCAAGATATACGCTGGAACATACTCCACGGGCCAAAAAAAAAAAAAAAAAAAAAACATATGTTGGAATGGATGTGCTCCTCATAGAGACAAGTCTGCAAGATATACGGTGTCACTTGGAAGGAGAAAAGCCATACACTTCACAGTTCAAACTCAAATTGTGGGCATTCACCGTGAGTTGGATGGCAGATGACTATCGTCGACAACCACCGTCGTCACCCAAACATAACACCCGGGCATTGTATTCAGTACATTGGCCACGACTCCAGTGAGTCGTGGAAAAATAATAATAATAATAAATCCTGTGAGGAACTGCAATGCAAACAAGTTCCAGCTGAGGGTCATTTCAGAATTCCTTACCTATTCGGAAGTGATTCGAAGATTAAAAAAAAAAAAAAAAAACGCCTCCAAACCTAATGAATGTCCCACTTCTCGCCCTGCGAGACACTCTACCTGTGCCACGTTCAAATACAACGCCCGGGCATTCCATAAGGATATAACACCCGGGCATTGTATTTGAAGGGACGTTGTTTTCAACAAAAAATAAAAAAAATCTGCCTTTTCAAAGGTAAGTTGAAATCAACACTTGGGGATTATTTTCGATGATGAAGACTGTACCAGTGCCCACCTTAACAGCAAGTCATCGCTGTGATGGTATATACAGTGGCAGCGTGTGTCGTCAATATATTTGATCAGGAGCTTGGCAGCAACTCAACCCATCAGGACCCATGCTAACACAAGCAGACTGCTTGCCTTAAAAAAGAGACGGTTCCTCGATCACAGAGAGAGAACCGCTAGTGAAGGTGATTGACAGAAAGTTTGGACAAGGCTTAACCATCAGCAGGCCTCTGAAAGATAAGTTCCTTGCAGAGGGAGGGAGAAGAGAAGGTGTGGTTATGGGAGAAGAGGAAGATTAAAAAATATGGTATTATTCTAGAGAAGTTACTTCGAGGGCTTGCCCACCTTCGCATTCCAGATGTGCAGAGAGAAAACTCAGACGTTCACTGGACATAAGCAGAGTCCAACATGAAAGGCAGGAGGAGTAGGAAAAAGTATAATGCTATAGTAGCCATCCCATCTTCTCCATTGTGCAGATTGATTCTTCACACTGTCCTTTAAGAACAGGACAAGCGAGACAGGCCTGCTATGCAAGGTTTACTCTGCTGAAAAGTTAGAACGTAGGGGGGGTTCCCAGGCGTCCGGGCACCCAACCTGTGCCCGGGCGGGCATGATCGGGCCATGACCCCGAGCAGGGTTCCAAGCAGCCCCAGTAGGGGGAATTTTTTTTTTTTATCCAGAAAAAAAAATGTTGTGTAGAATTGCAATGCAAACAACTTTTCGCTGAAGGTCACATCAGTATTCGTCACTGAATTGAAGATAAAAAAAAAAAACAGAATCAGACGAAGGCACCCCCCTTTAGACCCCTTCAGCCCGTTTAGAACCAATTCATACCCCCCCTTTTCTTCCCTAACAGGTGGCACTCAAAGAAAGAAAAGGGCTTGGATTTGAAGATTAAAAAAAAGACAGAATCAGACTAAGGCACCCCCCTTTAGACCCCTTCAGTCCGTTTAGAACCAATTCATACCCCCCTTTTTCTTCCCTTGACAGGTGGCACTCAAAGAAAGAAAAGGGCTTGGATTTGTGCTCCTCTGGCATGAGCAGAACCCCAAACATCGCGTCGCGCAGTGGTATGGGCACCAGAAAGCAGGGATTCTATCTAAACTTGGTGCGCACCAAGTGGAGGGAGAATGCCATCAAACAGTATCATATATATCGTCACAAATAGAACTGCCCGGTAAACCGTAGGCAGAGAGAGAGAAGAGGACAACAAACGAGGGGCTGTGACAAACTGTTTCGTCGGAGTTTCACCGACTATATGTATATATATACCTGACAGCATCCTCGAGATTAGTCATTGACCGGACGACCAGAGGATGAGGAGTCATGACCTCGCCAACTGTCTTGCCTCTCATTTTATGTAAAAGCTTTTGGATCTCCTTGAAAGCCTGCAGAAGTTAACGAACCACCAGAGCAACAACCACAAGCAGGACTTAGCAAATGACAAAGAATGTTGCACAGAGGCTTGATTTACAGGGGTGACGAGATGCTAGAAGCATGAATCACTGAGGAGATAAAGCAAAGGCCACCTTGTTCTTCTAGCCCAGTGTGGACTCGCAGTGAGTTCATTACTGGTTCACACTCCCATCACCAACGTCGGTATTCTCATTCTCTATCATCGACTACTTCAGACGATAAAAGAGTAAACAACAATGCAGGTTGCAGAATCACAAGATGACTGTGGACGCAAGCAATCCTGACTACTTGTCTGTTTCCTGAATCGATTCCCTCTGCGGCCACTCTGCAGCTTTGATAAAAAGAAAAAATCCAGTGCTAACAGCTCAAGCCATCGTAGGACACCAGCAACGTTCTTGCTCTCTCTCTAACGAACGTAAACTACCGGATGATTGCTTCACTAACTCACACTCTAACCACCGTCATGCAACAGTGCTTTTTTTTTTTTTTTTTTTTTTTTTTCAACAGGGCTTTTCTCTCTCCAGTTCAGGCACGGAAGAAAAAACAACAAAACAGGCTGGAAAAGCACAAGGCAACGGCGGACATAATCCCAAGTACTTGTCTGTTTCTTGAGCTGATTCTACCTTGGTTGCCCTTTGCAGCCTTGATCAATAATCACGTGCTGCAGACTCATACCAGCACAGGACACCTACCGTCTTTCACCCGAATCGAGAACACCCAGTCATTCCGATTGCGTTTGGACAGAAAGTTGCCCCAAATACAGCTACAATGACCACCATTCTATTATTCAGGTGAAGACGGTAGCAATGCTCTAGGTTCACAAACCAGAGAAGGCCCCTACCGTCTTCCCCCTGAACACAACGCACCCTAATTTTGGCTATAAGCTAGCTTAATTTTGGCTATAAGCTAGCTTGTATACATCCATAATCAGGGTGTGTAGTGTTTGGGGGAACACATGAAAAGCAAAATACAGGCGGTGCAATTAATTTACACCCTTAGGCAGTGTCTTTTCCGTAGCTGATTTGTACACAAGTACCTATACAACCATTGACAAACCGATTTACAAGACCACGCCGCCACTCTCGCGACGGATAGGATGCATACTACAACGTTAGGAGCAGATCCCCCTCTAGACACTAACAGGGCGAGGATTGAACAAGAATATACCCTTCTCCTTTGAATCCTGAACCTCTCAGGATCACTTCACTCAAGGCTCTTCCTGTTATGCAAGGCAAGACGCCCAGCATTTACAGGACATAGATTCCAGCATTTTATAATTAATAATTACCATATTTTGCTGGACCTCTGGCCCCACTAGGCAAACATGTCTACAGGTGGCAGCTTCTTAAGGATCATCACGAAGCACAGACAAAATTAAAAATGCTGAAAATTAAGTACACAGGATGCAAAAGCAGAGGCTGAAATGAACGTTGACCCACTTTTCACCTTCCGTTCAGCGAAGAATAGACTCAAACTGAGTCAAACACCACCCTGGATAGCTTTAAACAAGCAGTCAAAGGGACAAAACTGACCTTCCATGTGCTTCCAGCAGCTGGAAAGATATTATGATCCCCTGGTTTGCTGCCTGCAAGTACAAAGAAACCAGAAAAGACAACCACACGATCAATCATCATGCTCGCTCCTAAAAGGCATACTCTCCTTTTTATCTCAACAGCATCTGCTATGGATCCTGCACAATCATCTCATGCATATGGTAACTGTTTTCTGCTATGGACCCTGCACAATCATCGAATGCATATGGTGACTGTTTAGGTCGGCAATATCTAACAACAGAGCTAATAATCACCATCATCCACAACATCATCATAATGATCATCATCATTGCTATCGCCATCATCATCACCATCATCATCGCCAACAACATTGTTGTGACACCATCTCATCGGCAAGTTGCATTTCCGAGTCAGTAAAGCTCTCAAGGAAAACATCATCGGCATCATCATCGTCATCGTTATCATCATCATCGTCATCATCATCGTTATCGTCATTGTCATCATCATCAACAACATCATTGTGACACCATCTCATCGGCAAGTTGCACTTTCAGGCCAGTGAAGCTCTCAAGGAGAACATGCGTTTTAAGAGCTTCACAGCCTGTGCCATGGATCCCAAATCATGGCATACCCTACTACCGTCTTCAGCTGAATAAAACGTACGTTGTCCAATCATTATTTCTGTATGTAGACTCAAAGTTGCCCCAAATACAGCTATAATCAGCTGAAGACGGTAGCTCGCACAGTCTGGCTTCCTACCTGATGCACATTAACAGCATAGACGGTTTCTTGTGGAAGCAGAGAGGAATGTGAGACGGTTGACAGGTAGAAAGAAGTGGTTGAAGCACAAGAACACAGGAAGGCGGAGTTTAAACCACCAGTACCTGCCGGGTTCTTAGGCCCCCTCTAACGTGAATGGCTACAGACCCACGCAGTAGGCCGGTTCATCCACCACGTTGACGCCTAAAAACGAGTCGGTACTGGTGGTTTAAGGCCCCCCATGTTAAAGCACGGAGCCGAATTGCCTGCAAGCAATGTCATGAGAGAAGGAGCTTGCTTACCAACGATTGAATCCAGCGCCAGCAGATCATAGTCCGACACAACCCCAATCTGCAACGGCAATCAACATCGAGCACGTCTCTCATTCATTAGACAGAGCAAGCACACTGCCACTGCATGCAGTTAGTGGGCACACAACTCAACAGAAAATGTGGGATCAATGCAGTGGGCACAACTCAACAGAAAATGAATGTGAGATCAATGCTGGACTGTATTTGTCCCAAATAAATCCCTTATCCTATCATCCTATGTGATTTCCAAACACAAATATTGTTATGCACAATGTTCAAACATCACTGATGCTGCTGTTGAGTCACTCCTGAAGCAATGGAGATCACAGTGAAATAGAACAAGGTTGCTGAATGTAATTTGCTAAAATATTTGCAGATAAATTCTGTTCGGAGGCACGACTGTATTTTTTGCGGAGCGGATAGATTCTGTTCTGTTGCACAATTAAATCTATATGTGATAGTACAGCGATACCTTTTTTCTGCACTCACTCCCCCCTAGAAATCTGTGTATTTGATGAAAACACAAGGACAACTCTCTCATTTGCAACCTCGGCGCATTCATTATTTCAAAGAAACTGAAAGAAATCATTGTCTTTAGTACTTTTTACTTTTTTCCTTTCCAGCTTACATAAACAGCTCATCAATGTGGATCTTCCTTAACAGAGCTTCCCATTCACCTGCATGATATGATAGCAAGTGCACCATCCACACCCAACAAAATAAAGCCCAAGGAATAAAATGACCACCACATCCAGACTTAGGCCCAAGGAATAAAATGACCCCTGCATCCAGATTCCAGACTTAGATTGACCTCAAAAAGGTCCTCAATGGAATATTTCCAATCGATCAGTAAGACTGCTGCCCACCCCTAAGACAACTGAGTGGGACAGAGTGCACAGAGATATGGGAACTAAGAATAGGCCAGCAAACAGAAACCAGAGGGAAAAGACAGAGAAAGAAACGACAATAAGAAACTGGAAGAAGCGAGAGAGTGCCGGGGCACATAAAAGTGAGAGAGAGAGACGGAGGGAGAGGGGGGGGAGAGTGAGAAAGAGAGAGAGAGAGATGTGCCTTATTTGCAGATTAATACCACCCACAGTTCGGGCGAGAGTAGGGGGAAGGGGGAACCTGGAACCAAATTATGAAGCTGAATGATTTGCTAGTTGAATCTCGCTTCCATCACAGCCAGATATATCCGAATCAAAGAAAGAACCACACACAGAGAGAGAGGGAGAGAGAGAGAGAGAGCTGATTTTCGAGGAGCCGTTCTCAGCAGCCCAGAGTCAGAGAAATGGGCCTCCCACGCACTCTGGCTGGTTTCTCATTGTTCAAAATTTAAAACATCGTGGTCTTTTCTTTTTCTTCTGTTTCCCATATCTCTACCCCTCTGTATGCTGTTAAGATGTAGACTTCAAGATCAGTGTACTAGTTCTGCCAGTACCTGTGTTATCAGCTGGGCAGCTCGGGTTGCCTCAGATTGGCCCGGGTGGCTGGTCCGGGCCAGGTCCGGGCAAAGTCTCGGTCAAGGTCCCGGGCGATCCAAGTGCAAAAAAAAAATTAAAAAAAAATTAAAAAAAGATCTGAAACAAAGCCATGTCATGCAGAATTGCAAACCAAACATCTTTTGCCTGAGGGTGACCACGAAATTCGTTGTGGAATCCGAAATGAAAAACTAAAAATAAAATACTTAATTATATCATACAGCTCATACCCCTTCACGCCTCTTTACGTCCCTTCAAGCCCTTTCGAGCCCCACTTATACCCCATAGACACCCTTTGGTGAGATATCACCAAACTCGAAGATAAGGGATTTGGGCACGTCGGATTGGGCACAAAATTGCCCCACTGCCCCCCCCCCCCCCCCCAAAAAATGACCCCCTTTTTGGTTTTGCCCTGGTACCCCAGGCAGGTAACCCCCCGTGCAAGTTCGCCCAGGTCGCCCGGCCGGGCGGCCCGGACCAGACGACTCTGGTAACATAGGTCAGTACTGGATTATTGTACAGGCGTCAAAGTTCAGACTCTTATATCAAGATGGCCCCTCCCCAAAGCATCTCCCACTACCCCTAATAGCATTACTCTCCAGTGCATTGTGAGGCGGAAAGGGCATACCATCATAGCCCATCAGTGATAGTTGAGCCTGGCTTGGATCATCACACAAGAGTGTGACACAGATGCAGGTTGATGACGCAAAGACACTACCATGGATGTCAGGACTTGCACCCATAACTGCTTTTCTCTGACAGAAAGTGACCAGGCCGTGCAACACATTTCTGTATTCCTCGTCAATTCTGCGGCCAGACTTTCGAGTGAGCCGCTGCATTGTCTGCCTTGCTATCCCAAACCTTCGGGAAAAAAAATGAAAAAAGAAGAAGAGGTGCCCAGTGCCCAAGGGTTTGATTATTGCAAGGAAAGGTAACGGAATATCCCCACTTGGAAATCAGAATTGGAAGTTATCAGCTGACAATACCTATCGGATCATCATATCGCAGCCGGTTTCAGACATATTGACCACCAACTTCTATGGATTCAACATTATATAGAATACTAATTCAGTTGCTTATTACAACCCTCATTCTTTTTTAGACGATTTATAGTAATTTATACCCATGAAAATCCTAAATACACCCAACCCTGCAGTCCCATCCTCAGAGAACCCGAATGCAGCCAGTGTGACCAGGGGGTGCCTAGGCAAGCCAGTGGCACGTAGAAAGAGCGAGGAAAATGTTCTGGACAAAAGCAAATCCACGGAGGACCATGTAAATATCAACACCTCAGTCCCCCGAACACAAAACACACACACACACACACACACACACACACACACACACACACACACACACACACACACACACACACATGGGTTAAAACAGACCTGAAACAACAAAACAAAACAAAAAAAAAACTTACCAGCTGACCGTCATCATTGACAACTGGCATTCCAGAAATCCTGTGATCCACAAGGAACTGAAGGGCTGCATCACCCAGAAACAGCAACAGACAAACACAACATTACCCATGGACCTCAGAATACGAAGTACACATTCAAGCTAGTATCACTGCATCACTTGCAGCTAACCTACAATCTGAAAGCATGCAAAATCGCTGTGGAGTTTACTTTCTTCTTTTTCCTCATTCGTGATCCCCCCTTCCCCTCGTATCCAAGGCCCGAGGCGAGCAGGCAGGGGCAGACGCCGGGCGAATAATCCTCACAGATAAGGGCAAGTGCTCATTGTCCGAATGGGGACTACACACAACCGAGGATGTCTACGATACAGAATGAGCGCGGATGGTTGACTGACTGAAGCGATTGGCTGGAAATATGTGTGGCTGTGGGAGTATCCATGGTAGTTTATAATAAATGGTGGTGGAGTCTATGTAGAAACGAGACCATTGAGAAGTGGGGGGGGGGGGGTAGGGAGGATGAGCATGATCCTTGGCGCCGAAGCACAGAAAGACAGGAAACAAGAACATATTGGACGGGGATTCGTTATTGACAAAGAGGGTATTACAGTGGCATAAAGGAGACGGACAAGAAGGTGATTCACCTGAGAGTCGAGGGTATAAGGAAATCTTACAGAGATGGGCTGTCAGGAGTAGAGGCTGACAGAGGATCAGCGAGAGATAAGACTGCAAACACGGTGTTCGGAGCACTGGAGGCCAAAGCCAATGTTATATGTACTTCATGAATACATCTGTTTCAGCTGCAAGCTTCCCCATGAATACATCTGTTTCAGCTGCAGGCCCTGTGGACAGGGATCATCACCCTGACACCTAGAGGCTACCAGTGAACATTTTGGTACAAATTATATGATCAAGACTTGGAAACATTTCTCCCATTCACATTTCCCCACAGCCACCACTCCGCTTTCATCCATTTACACTGAACTGTGCTAGGCTTCCTTGCAAAGCACTTCTGCCTGTGAGAAGAAAGGTCACTCCAGCTGCTTTCATCCATTCACACTGAAATGTGCTAGGCTTCCTTGCAAAGCACTTCTGCCTGTGAGAAGACAGGTCACTCCACCTACATCAAAAGCAGATAAGATTCGGGCACCGAAGAAGGGTGATGTGGCCACAGCAGCTTCTGAGGGCATGATTCACGTGCCACTACACTTCCACAGTTGCTTCGGCAGTCACGACTTCAAGACCATGTCAAGTCAGTGCATTAAACAGACATATACAAATGTCCTCTTAAGCCACACCACTATTCCTGCGCCTCTTTACCCCGATGCCCATTTTGCCCAGCTTTGAAATGTCGAGCCGGCACACACAAGAGCCTACCCAGCACCACCAACCTTTTTGGTCCCGCAGGACAGATCTACCCCTGACACCGGGTTGGGTGGTTGTTAGGAGAAGCACCTCCTCTGGCACATCTATTCGCAGAAAATGCAATTACCTTCATCGATTGTTGTTCCAGCCTTCACGGACACAATCTTCCCACCCGTCATTGCATCTGATACCGTCAAAAACTCTCGCTTCTGCAGTCATGGAAACACACAAAGACATAACATTTGTCCATCAGCGAAATGACCACTCGTCCCATGCTCTCACCACAAGTGCATTCCTTATCACATTACAAGCAATTCCCTCTTTAAAAAATAGACAACATAGGAAAGAAGACGTTCCACATCCATGCTGTTCACTGAAGAGTCGTGAAGACCAAAGACGGCACAAGAGACCTCTCCATAGGGCCCCCTTGGCAGCTGTTCGTTATCAACTGAAGGTCACCCCCATGACCTGCTCCCAAGGGGGGGCCATCTATCCACACGGCACCTGGCAGCAGTCATGGTGATGACCTTCACTTCAAATGAGCAAAATCACAGCAAGCACGAGCTGTTAAGCTCAAAAACCCGTCGCCACAAGAAGCGAGTTAAGTTGGACGATAGGATTGCCTTTCTTTTTTTCAAGGCTAATTCTTTTAACTTTTAAGCTAGGTTACCTGATCGGACGTCCGGGAACCCCTCAAGAGCTGTCAGGATGAACTCTTGAAAAAGTCGAGAGTAGCCATCACTGCACTCTCTCGTGATTGTGGCTCATGAAAAACGCCTTTCAAGAGCTGTTAGGAAGCCGTGAGTAGACATCGGGCCTCGCTGCACTACTCTCGAAATGTGCAAAACGAGAGTGAATCTTCCGCTACAATATGGAAAGATACACGGCCATGATTTTTGTCTTTTCTGCATTTCAAGAGTAGTGCAGCGAGGCCCATCACCTAGAGCACTCTTGCGTGCCAGCCTGCAACCACCGTTTTTGCTAGGGTGGTCCGACGTTCGCTTGAAATGGTGAGGATTTCCATGAGCGCCGTCTGGAGTCTGGGCGGACAAACAAGGCTGTCACTGTTGTGTACGGCTTCAAGAGCACTGAACGTGTATCAAGAGCCGAGCAAGAGTGCATCGATCTCGAGTAAGTGCAGCGGCGACAGAACTCTAGGTGTTTTTAGGACTCTGACAACTCCTGCCGCACTCTTGCAAATTTTCACCAGTCAAGAGTAGTGCAGCGAGGCCCAATGACATAAACAAAACAAAGACAATCCTGAAAAAAAAAAAAAGAGAAGCGAGCGAGATCAAGTCGCACGAGATTCTACAACCAGAAACGGAAAAAAAAAAAGGAATTGCAGGAGACCCACAAGAACGAGAGGAAAGGGAGACGGTAGACGAAGACCGCAACAGCTACAAGTGGAAGGACCTGTAGAAGTAAGGACGAGCAGAGACTCAGACGGTACAAAAGACACTCGAGGCATAAAACTGTAACTGCCGCACACTACCCACAATGACATATCTGTAGCGAGAGAACTGGCCGGTGAACCATAAGCAGAAAAGGAGAAAAGAACAGCAAACGAGGGGCTGTGATAGACTGTTTCGTCGGAGTTTCTAATACATACGTATATATCGTCACACCGTATATCGGAGCGCAAAGGCAAAAAAAGATAACAAAAAAAGGAAAGAAGGGAAGCTCCGCCTATTCATCACCTCTTACGTACAAGGCCGGCCACGTGGATGACAGGTTGAGCGCCGGCTGCCCCCATCCCCGTGTGTCACAAGGACCCACTTGCACGCAGCCGAAAGGCAAAGAGGTAAAGAAAAGGAGGAAACCAAACCTCACAGAGGCAAGAAAACTTCTTTTTCTTCTTTTTCTTCTTCTTCCCCTTCTTCTTCTTCTACTTCCTTCTTTCTACTTCTTCTTCGTCTTCTTCTTCTTCATCATCCTTTTCTTCGTTTTCTTCTTCTTCTTCTTTCTTTTTCTTGTTTCTTCTTCTTCTTCTTCTTCTTCTTCTTCTTCTTCTTCTTTTCCTTCTTTTTCTTCTTCCCCTTCTTCTTCTACTTCCTTCTTTCTACTTCTTCGTCTTCTTCTTCTTCATCATCCTTTTCTTCGTTTTCTTCTTCTTTCTACTTCTTCTTCGTCTTCTTCTTCTTCATCATCCTTTTCTTCGTTTTCTTCTTCTTCTTCTTCGTCGTCGTCGTCGTCGTTGTCGTCGTCCTTTTCTTCGTTTTCTTCTTCTTCTTCTTCTTCTTCTTCTTCTTCTTCTTCTTCTTCGTCGTCGTCCTTTTCTTCGTTTTCTTCTTCTTCTTCTTCTTCTTCTTCATCTGCCCTCTCTCGACGTCGCGTTGATGCTAATCTGCCGGGTTCTTTACCTTAACGACAGCCTGCTCTGGCACGTCGACAGCGTTCGTAAACCATGCACCGACCGCGCCAAATCAGAACCAGCTCTCCAGTGGTGACCGACGATAACAAAACAGAGGGCAATAATACGAACACTTTTTTCCCTTCTTCCTCTCCTTCTTCATCATCCTTTTCTTCGTCTTCTTCTTCTACTTCTTCTTCTTCTTCTTTCCAGTGGTGACCGACGATAACAGAAATGATACGAACACAAGAATCCAAATATAATCAAGAGTAAAAGAAACGGAACCACAATATACAGATGACATTCCACATCAGGGACAGATGGCTGACAAAAGATAAAGAGCAAAAAAAAAGAAGGAAAGACAAAAGCAAGAAGGTAAAATCTGCCAGAAGGAAAAGCAAGATTGTCACACTGTGAATCGGAGCTCAAAGGCGGAAAAAAAAAAACAAAAAAAGGAAAGCAGGAGAGCAGGAGAGCTCCGCCTGTTCATCACCTCTTACGTACAAGGCCAGCCACGTGGATGACAGGTTGAGCGCTGGCTGCCCCCATCCCCGTGTGTCACAAGGACCCACTTGCACGCAGCCAAAAGGCAAAGAGGTAAAGAAAAGGAGGAGGGAACCAAACCTCACAGAGGCGAGAGAAAGAGAAAGCGATCCAGTCAAAGAAAGGACAAGGGAAGAGGGAGGCCTATCAGTCAAACAAAGCGAATGACACATCCCACAGATAAACCATTTGCCACTGTCACAACGAAGTTCAAACTATTTTTTCTTTCTTTTTTTTTTCTTTTTTTTCTTTTCTTTTCTTCAGCAATTTGTTTTTTTTTCTTTTTTCTTTCTTTTTTTTTTAATATATAAACTCCGACAAAACAGTTTGTCACAGCCCCTCGCTTGTTGCCCGCTGCTCCCTCTCTCCCTCCGCTTTACCGGGCAGTTCTGGTTGATGATATTACCGGGCAGTTCTCTTCGACGATATATTGTCACACTGTGAATCAGAGCGCGAAGGCGAAAAAATGCAAAATAAGTGAAGGAAAAGAAGTAAGGAGAGCCCCACCTGTTCATCACCTCTTACGTACAAGGCCAGCCACGTGGATATATATGGTCAACCAGAGCTGCCCGGTAAACCGCAGGCAGAGAGGGAGAACCGGACAACAAACGAGGGGCAGTGAAGAGAGAGAGAGAGAGCGACATACACAGAGAAAGAGAGAGTTACAGAGAGAAAGAGAGTTCATCCTCGTGATGAGTAGGTGAAACTCCGACGGAACAGTTCGCAATAGCCTCCCGTCCCGTCTCTTGTCCTTCTCTCTCTCCCTTTCTGCCCACGGTACACCGGGCCGCTCTCTCTACAAGTATGTCATAGTTGGCGGTGTGCGGCAGTGGCAGCTTTATGCCTCATCAAAGGATCTTTGTGTACCGTCTGTTCCACTCGTAGCTGTTGCAGTCTAGTATATCACAGCGACGAGTGGTGTGCGGCAGCGGCACACTCGATATTTCTGTGGCAATATATAGTACAAAAAACGAATTGATTTCTGTGGTGTCCTTCTCTCCCTTGTAAGGAAGAAAAAAAAAAAAAAACGAATTCCTTTTTTCTTTCTTCTTCTTTCCTTTTTTTTTCACCTTTGAGCTCTGATATTTCTGTGACAATATATAGTAGTCCGCATGTCCGTGGCAATACATCTGCCACTGCCGCTGCCGCACACCACTCGTAGCTTTATGCCTCAAGGATCGTTTTGTACAATATATTCCCACAGACCTGGCAACTATATATCGTCACAGAAATATCAGAGCTCAAAGGTGAAAAAAAAAAATCAGGAAACAAGAAGAAAAACAAAAACAATTCGTTTTTTTTTTTGTTTTTTTTTTTCGTTTTTTTTATCTTCCTTCCTTACAACTCCCCCTGTTCAGAGTCAAATCTCAAGATATTATTCATGGACATTTACATGTATATGTTCATAGAATATATAGACAATCTATACAAACAAAACGTGTACATAAACTACCGGTAGTTAATGACTTGATAATGCCGGTCCGTCGATGATCACGTCATTAACTACCTATTCGTCATAGAGAGAGTTACTGACTTGATAATGCCTTTACGATCAAGTCATTAACTCTCTGTATGTGCATGGACATTCACATGTATGTTCATAGAGTATCTAGACAACGTATACAAACAAAACTTGTATATAAACTACCACCGGTAGTTAATGACTTTATAATGCGTGTACCTAGACCGATCCGTGGATGATTAAGATGGGCATCGACTTGGACACGCTTGAGTGAATTTTACCGGTTGACGACATCGATTACCGGATCACAGACAGGAGCTGAACGAGGAGAAAGGAGAAGAGGGGGGAAAAAAATGTTTATTTACTAACGGCTCCATCCTGCGTGTCACACTAGAGAACCTCAACCAGGATTTGCTTACTAGTACAAGACTTTCTTTCAAAAGAGGACAAAAATTTGTTCTCAATAGAAAGACAGAACCAAATGCAATCCAAACCGAGCGGACGTATGCCGCAAGTGAACTCATGTCCCGTACTTGCTACCGTCTTCACCCGCCATCGTAGCTGTATTTGGGGCTAATTTCGGTCTAGATTCAGCGATAATCCCCAGGGCGTTGTTCTATTTGAGTGCAGAGGGTAGCAAATTTTGCGATCGGCGCATACCTGCACTCGGTTTGCATTTCATCTCTCAGAAGAGCATACTCACATTGAGACTTCGCGGATGCATCTGACCGTCATCACGGCCCCATGCTGGATGAATCTGCCTGCAATCACGTCCAGAGCTCCGTCGTAAAAGCGCTACCGTCTTCCCCCGAATAGAATGCACTGTCAACATCGTCGTAAGTGGACCGAAAGTTAACCGAAATATATACTTCGGGGACAGTGCGTTCTATACGGGGAAGGACGAAAGTGCGCGAATGCCATCGATCGCTTTGTCTTCCGATTGTGGAAATGAATACTTCGTACTGTCATCAAGTTAGTTTTTTTATGCCTACTTAAAGCTTTGATGTTTGATGGCTATGATGTGCGCCAAGTGCCAACCGTGCTCCACCGAATAGCGCGCACGGTCATTATCGCTCTGTCTTCAGACTGACAATTGTCCCTAATACAGATATAGTCACCGTGGACTCTATTGTGGGGAAGACAGCAGCACCTCTGATGGACCAACGAAAATGTCACGGTGACCCAAGAGCCCACGAAAATGTCACGGTGACCCAAGAGCCCACGTAAACCCATCTCCCTCTAACCACTTTACACAAGCGCGAGTAAATTACCGAGTATGTGACGACAACAAAAAAAAATTAACGGATCAAGGAAGCCAAACGAAGAGGTGACTTTCAAACACTTTTCATCAACCAAAAAAAAGAGAGAGAGCGACAGAGGTGACAGTGGAGGAGAGAGAAAGAGGTGAAGAGACTTTCAACGACGACTCCCTCCATTCCGTTTTGAGCCCTTCTTCCCGCGAATAGAACGTACGGGCAGTGTAGTACTGTTGTATCTTCAGGTACCAGCGATAATGACTGGTTACGTTCTATTCGGGGGAAGACGGGCAGGGAATCGCACCCCCGTATGGCCCAAAAACCAATCTCGGTGCTTCTTGTTGTTCCGTGGGAAACCCATCTACAGTTCTTTTTCCTTTTCCTGCGGAGCCCGCCGGCAATCGAAAAAGCCCGATCAGTATATCCCTGTCACTCTAACGGTTGCCTAACGGAATAACTCACGAGTAGTGGTCATTACCCCTCTTAACGGTATCTGACGGAGTAACTTACGATTGCCCATCGTACTCTGACGTTGGCTAACGGAATTAGTGGCGGAAGTACGTAAGTGCACAGAATGGAAAGGAACATTGATACCGTATTCGTATCTCGCAACGTCGATCCAATAAGCCGTTACAGCAGACTCAAGACAGATACTCGCCGCAGCAATTATACACACTTCCAACTGAATATGGCCGTCATTGTACACAGATACGACACGGAAAATCCTATTAATGCAATCATGTTCCGTCACGATACTCGGTGAGAATACCAGGATGGAAAGCAAAATAACCTCGTAAGAAGCCCCCTATCAAATCAAACTACCTCGTTAATGTCAAACATTATACAGATCCTTCAAGACTACCGGTAGCCTGCTAGCTGCTGCATGGTCAGCGTCCAACGACGAGGAGCGCAATCCAACACTTTTAAATACGTAATACAATAATTATTCCGTCAAGCTATGCGACGGTGGAATACAGCAAGTGGCTGGTACCAATCACCAGTGCTCACTCGCGGCAGCCCTTATGTCCTAATCACTGGCTCAGATGATTCGATCAGCAGGAACCATCTCAGGCCGCTCACCGCTAGCGCCCACGTCTTCTTTACGGGATGTAACCATGAAGCAACAGAGCACGAGAAAGAGATTAAGAAGTACACGAGCATAGATTAAGAAGTACACGAGCATATAACAACCAACCGAATCCACTCCGGCACGTCTGGATCTGTCTGTGTGCGTCCGTGTGTGCATGTGTGTGCACGTGTGTGCATGTGTGTGCATGCATGTGTACGTATGTGTGTGCATGCGTGTGCATGCGTGTGCATGTGTGCATGTGTGCGTGTGTGTGCATGCGTGTGCATGTGTGCGTGTGTGTGGATGCGGGTGCATGCGTGCGTGTGCGTGTGTATGTGCGCGTGTGAGAGACGGAGAGCGAGTGCGTGTGAGAAAGAGAGAGAAGGACAGCGAGCAAAAAATGTTGGGGGCACAATTGGGGTGAGGTAGACAATAACCTGAACGAGAACTGAAACCTCAACAGAAGTGAGAGAGGCAATGAAAGCGAAGATAAGCGCGGAGAGCTGTGAACACGCTTCATAAGTGATAAGCGACACAGAGAGAGAGAGAGAGAGAGAGAAAAGACAGGACACGGAACTTGCGACAGGGGACCGATAGAAAGGCGAGAGGGAAGAAGATAAACCGGCGAGTGGGAATAAGAGAGAGGGAGGTAAGAGCTGAGAGAGGGAGTGGACGGAATAAGAGAGAGGTAAGGACGTAAGCTCTCACCGGGCGGGAGCTCGTAGCTGGACCCATGTTGGTAGACGGTGACCTTTGGACGGGTCTCTCGGCGATCGCTGACCCGTGAGAAGACTGCGCAACAACTACCGTACCCACGCCGCTCACGTTCGCACCCGCTGACAATGGCGAGGACACTCGCCCATCTTGCAGTCGCACACCGTGTCGCACAGTCGCCTCCTTGCGAAGACGAATGGGCGCGCCCACCCCTCGCAGAAGACCCCCGCCACTACCACTGACTGACCCGTCGGTGCATGGAAGGGCCACGTCACCACGTGTGACAACTTCTAGAGCCGTCATCCCTGCGAAGCTCGCCAGTCCTGTGGCCATGGCGGCAAGCTTCAACGCGAACGACGACAGAAAAGTCGATAATAACTGGGTGCCCAATAACTTACTGTTGTTCCCTCCCTCGACCTCGACGACAAAGATGGAGTTCAGGCAGCAAGAGCAAGGTCCGACGTGACGTGGCGATCGCAGATGCTAGGCAACGAGATCGAACGACCGAGCAACAACAGCAGAGACGGCCACAGCAAGGTAGGCAAGGCACGAGAGGGAGAGAAGGGAAGCGAGGAGGGTGCACAATGCCTCACAACGCTGCCGATAAAACCGTAGTAGCCAATCAGGAAACACTTAGACTATATCACGCAAAGGCAGCCGTCACACCATCGCATGCAAGAGAGAAAGACACCACAAGACACATGCGCATATGAAGCTTTCAATCACGAAGAAACGCTGCGCCCTCTTATTGCTTGTGAAGACACGAGAGGAAGAGAAGTTTCGTTCACTTTCGAAAACGTGGCGATGGAGCCGGGTAGCCAGGACGACGATGTCGGTGGGCGGGACGATGAAATCCGACGTCCCACAGCCAGACACGACATCGACGTGCTTCCCGCCGCTCGTCCGCAAGGCGAAAAGATCACCGCGGGGGCCCGCAACAGCCACCGTAGTTCCCCAGGAGCTTGAAGACGAGAGCTGCTTTGACTGGCCCAAGCAGCCTTGCTTTCCGCAGTCCCGCGCTAAGCATCGACTGTGGCTTTGGAAATCGCTGCTCGATATATGGTACGACGCGGGAAAGGCGCCGAAAGGCGGGCAAATAGCCAGATACCGTGCTCCCCAAAAAAAAGCTACCGTCCTCCCAAAAAAGAGCGATCGGCGAAACGCGGGGGAATAGCGAGACCGGCTACCGCCGTGCTCCCAAAAAGAAAGCGATCGGCGTCCTCGCGAAAAAGAGATGTGGAGGATCGGCTGAACGAGATACGCGTGCGTCCAAAAGGTTACGCGCCAGCCTTGGTCGTTGCCATAATCCGAGCCTTTCACTGTGGCTTGGTTTAGCCTTTCATGCTCGGCGCGCTGTACACATCACCGAAATGGGAATGGCTGGGCGCGGTAATACGTCGTCGAAAAGAGACGTGAGGGGAAGTTGTTCAAGGCAAGAGTGCAACAGCGACGGTGCAGCGGCTTCCTGCCGGCCGCTCGCTTGGCAAGCAGCGCGCGCTTTTTTGCAGCCGAAAAGGGTCCAGTCATCAACTTTTGGGGAAAAAATCTACCTAAAGCGAAAGATCTTATTTGCAAGCATAGCTTTAGGAGTAGCGGTAGCTAGAATGAAATGTGAAATTGAGAGAAGAATACAGCGTAGCTTTTTCAACAACAAAAAAGAAAAAAAACTTTTTGGCCTGGGATTTTTGTTACTTTTCTGCTTGGGATTTTTGTTACCTTTCTGCTTCTTATCTTTCGAAGGGGCTAGCACTCTGAAAAATATTATTGGCTGGCACGATTTGACCTCATGAGATGTTTATTCGATATGTATGCCAGTGTATGTAAGTGTGCGTTTCACCCACCGTTTGTCATCTGCTCAAGAGCGGGTGGCCCCAACATTATTGTCTGTGTTTGTGTTTGTGTCCAACAGATTTCCGCTCATGATCCGCTTACCAACACTTTACATGTGTATATCATTCAGCCATGCAGCACCCTACCTGTAGTGGCACAGACCACCCGTGCGCACAGGTCTACTTCTTGGCTTGCCTACATGGTCCCACTGCACCACCCATAGTCGCCCCACCACTGATGCTCACCCCCACTGCTATTTGCTGACAAGGGAAGCCAAGGTGGGCAACTCACCTGGGGCCAGGTCACACTAGCCGCAACACCTGAATCTGAACTTGTTTGTGGAGATGTGCAGATATCGCGTTGAGTTTCCTCCACCGCACATCTCCAAACTCAATTGTGCTAGTGGGACTTGGCCCCGGGAAAGGACCGAGCCCCCTCGTCCAGAATAGGGTGGGTATGGCAGTAATAGGCTGGCGTATTACAGAGCGGCACGATGTGTTTTCACATTTTCAGTTTTGTTTTGCCAAAATTGCATGCAAACGCTTTGAAATGTGGAAGCTAGTTTGGTTGAACTGGTTATGTGTGCATGCGAGGAATTGGTGCACCGCAGGTTTTCCTTCCAACTCTTTGTCTATATTACTCCTTCCCCGACTTCTTGTTTTTGTCTATCTTGTGCTCTAGTGCCACATTTTCACCCTGCTTTTATCCCTTGCACATTTTTCCCATGTGCTTTCCTCGTGTTTCTTTTTATCTTGCACCTTCAAATGTTTCTTTGTGCTCTCCTTCTTCCTTTACCTCACATACTTTCTCATGTTTTTTCCTTCTTCTTGATTGATTTGGTGTTGGCCATCAGGCTCGTGTATGGAGACATGCTATGTACCCTTGCACTGCCATCTGATGAAACCTAACTCTATATTGTCTAACACGATGTTGTGCTTCCTAGTGTGCTTCTTATCTTTGCTTTCTAACCCTTTTTTGCCTATCTACTTTTCATCTTTCTTTGTGCGCTCCTTTTCCCTTTACCTTGCGTACTTTCTCATGTCTCTTCCTTCTTATTGATTGGTTCGGTGTTGGACATAAGGATGGTGCCAGTGTATGGAGACATGTTAAGTCCCCTTGCGCCGCCATCTGATGAAACCTAACTCTAAAATGTATAACACCATGCTGTGTTTCCTAGTGTGCTTCTCATTTTTCTTTCTAACCATTTTTTGCCTACCTACTTTTTATATGTCTTCATAAATGTTTTTTCCTACCCCTTGTGATCCTATGAAATTCGTAAATCCTTTTACTATCTCATCTTTTGTTATATCGATAGGTTGATTGGTATGCTTGGTAGTCATCAGACTTCCAAATATGCCTAATGTGTTGGATGCATCAAGTGACCAAAAAACAAATGTTGCTAAGAATGCATGTTCTTGGACAGGCGCAATGGATCGATGGCCCAATTACTGTGACGAAATAGGGTTTGTTATAATACTCATGGCGTGGACTACTTGCCCTTGGTTAAGTTTGGAGGTCTTGCGGTTGGATGTTTTCAAGTGGAGTTTGGTATTACCTAAGTGAGATCGACATAATAATTGTGAAAATTAACTTGAAGAAAATTTTTATAAGGTTTGTTGTAAAAAAATTGAATTAAGTGGTTCTGTATTCAAAATGACAGTTTTTAAATTGTATTATTTAAAATTTTTAATTTTATTAATCTCGTTTTGTATTTATCGGAACCATACTACCACACACCTAGAGGGAGTGCCCTTTCACAAATAAAATTTTATTTTTATAAGGTCATAAAATATGCGGAAAGGAGTATTAAATCAAACCTTAAAGTAATACTTATATGAGTGTAAGGATAAATAGTACTCAAATGTGTGATTTAGTACTACTTTTTGTACATTTCATTACCTAAAAAAATTATTTTAAAACAATGCTCCTTCCATATGTGTATTAGTATAAATTTGAAAAATGCTTAAAAAAATTGTAAAAAATAAACGTTAAATTTTATGCAATAAAATACATAATTGTAAAAATAATGTAAGTTCATTATTTTATGTCAATTACCAATTGTAAAATTGGTGCAATATTTTTTCATTATATCAATCATTTATGATTTCACATTCTTATACAGATGTATATGTACATGAGTTTATCAATTTTTAGTCCAACCTTCTTTAATACTCAATTGCGTGAGTAAACTTATCCATGTTTGTAATGATATGATGAACCTCCAAATAGTTGCATATACATTCTCACTTTGTTGAACCATGATTCTCGAAGACCTGTGTATTTGATAAGGATGCATGGTTTTATAACTTTTATTATGTATTTATATAACTTTTTTAATTCGGGGTCTGCTATTGAAGGCGATATGAGTGTTCCTCGATTGTGCGTTTTCCGTTGAGGATGGGTCCATTCCATTGGTGGGGAACCATAGTTACAGAAAAAATGGTTAAAACATCTCTTACAATATTTCATAACAATCATGTTATTTCATAAATGTTTTAGTTATTGAATGAAAACGTTTTTGTTTTCTCTGCTTAACTTTTGAAAGAAAAAAACATACTATCCTTCTTATACCATTTTGTTATGTCTATCATAATTTCTTTTTTTTATTGTTTATATTCTTCATATTCATAATTCTACTTTTGTGTTTATGAATTATGACCATAGGTGTTTTTCAGTGGTTAATCTTTGAATGGATGTCTAAGTGGTTGAAGGTATCAGTCTTGAAAACTGACATAGTTGGTATTTCAGTTCATAATAATATGAATTCGTTTTTTTTTTTTTTCTTTTTTTTTTGCTTAACTAGGTATTTAGGGAATGAGGTTTAGTTCACAAACAAATAAAGGTTGTAATTGAACCACAACTAAAAAAATATAAAAAAGGTGTAAGATAAAAAACCTTCAATTAAAAAAAAAAAAAAATCTTCAAAAGTTATCATTCAAAACTATAAAAAAAAATTCTATTTTTTTTAATAAGTGTTTATCTAAAAATATTTTTTTCTTTATAATTATGATTTTATGTTAACGATGACATGAAATTTAAAATTGGTTTATTAAATATTTAAATTAAACTTTATTTTTAATATAACGAGTTTCTTACAATTTATATTGGATTTAATATTTTTTATGAGAACTTCTTAAAATATAATAATAGTTTAATTAAAATATTTTATTAAATCGTTCAAAATTTTGAATTTGTTTCTAATAAATATATAATAGATTAAGTTTGGATGATTTAATAAAATGCTTTGATTAGACTATCAAAAGTTCATAACAACTTATATTTATTGACTAAAAACTAAAATATGTTTTATAGTTTTTATTTCAGCTAACTAATATGCAAATTCAAATCGGAGGAAGGAAATCATTGATAACTCAATGAACACTTGTAACACCAAATTGACTTATGATTAATCGTCATGGATAAAAATCTTTATTATAGATAAATAACTTAGACAAATAACTTAAACAAAAAACTTAGACAAACCCTTATCGAAATAAAGGATCATAAACATAAGGGATGAATGTCTTTACGAATAAGTTGTATCCCTCTTTTGAAAATTATTCAAGGATAACCTTATGGATATTTTTATATAATGTTTTAACAGGGTAGATTGAGGGAACTGCTACCCAAGGGAGTGATCACATTAATATACAAGCAAAAATATCAAATAAACATATGAATTGACTTATGATCAATCGTCATGGATGAAAAACCTTATTATAGACAAAGAACTTAGACAAACTCTTATCGAAATAGAGGATCATAAAACATAGGGGGTGAATGTCTTTACGAATAAATTTTATCCCTCTTTTTAACATTATTCAAGGACAACCTTATAAATATTTTTAGATGATGTTTTAAGAGGGTAGATTGGGGGAACTACTACCCAAGGGAGTGATCACATTAATATACGAGCAATAAGATAAAATAAACATATGGAATTATCACCCAGTTACGTTGCGACGATGATATATACAGTGATTTTCAAAGCACTGATTTATAGAATTTTTTAAATCGTACTAAAAATTTAAAACCTACATTAAACATGATTCATGACAGAAAAACACATCCAAGTTAATATGTTATTAGTAAATAGAATGATGAAGTTTACAAAGTATCCCAATTAAAAAGAATGATCCTTCTCATCGACTTCAAGAATGCTTATCATCGTATAGACTGAGATTTTATGGACTTACACCTTCAAAAATTGAATTTGGCCTTGTTTTTAGGCAATGGATCATATCTTTCACCATAACAATAGGGCTAGTGTAATGGTCAATGGTCGTATCTAGGTTGGTAAAACAAAAAGACCCTATTGTATAAT